CAAGTCGGCAATCACATAGCTCGTTTGCGGTGTCTGAAAATCTCCGCAACTATGTTATTTTTTTAACGGAGAACAAATGGACGTGATTCCTTGAAGTTTTTGCAGAATTTTCCTCGCACATAGAAGAAAAATCACGGCAGTTTTAAAGAATTACCGTTGAGTAGTTTTCCGTTTAACAAATAAAGTATGACAGGAAGTCTGCGACGTCGCAAACCGAGTTATGTGATTGCCGACTTTCACCGTCGACATGTCATATTGGGGCCTCGAAAAATGACCCAGAGGTCATCGCACACCTCAAGAAGTTTCGCAGGTTTAACGAGAGTACCTACGGCAGCTAGTGTTGTGCTCCGTAATTTATCCAGCCACGTACGGTACCTCTGTAGTAAACATTTGGTTCCCTTGGCATTATTTGATGAGAGACTTACATCGAAAGCCCTGGATAGACGATCAAATTCTGAACGAATTCCGATCAAAGCAGACATGCTGATGACTGATGGTCACCATCTACCATCAAATTTTGACGGGCCGCACTATTTTGTTCAAAGTAAGATCAGAATGGAGTGCCACTATTCATCATTTCCTGCCACAGGAAACATTTCTGCCAAGTTATCATTTTAAAATGAAGCAAATGAATGAGTTTAAGACTGATGACTCCCGACACTTTGATGCTACTTTGATCGGAATTGGTTCGGGAATTTGATCGTCTATCCAGGGCTGAACACTAAGAGAGTCTTTGTCCACAACATGCGACACAATGTAGGGCTGCCGAATCCACCTGTCCGCCAGAACGTATAATTTAACTAATGTCTAGGGTCACTTTTGAAGACACTTATTTTCATGATCTCTTACAAGTCACAGCCAAAGTCAATAAAACCATACAAAAATAATAAAAATAGTCTGTCAACCATTTTGAGACTCTAAGCCTTTAAGTAAACTGTGGGTTATTTGATTTAGTTTATCAACTTTGAACTGTTTAATTTGTTGAAATTGATTTTCCTACATAATAGCCAATATTTTACAAAGAAAATTTGTCTTTTTGATGTATTTATACATTTCAACTGTTTTTTAATGTTAAAGTGTATCCAGGTCAATTCGTAATGATACATTGCAACGGACGGGAACTTTCGGGCCCGCGTAAGCTTAGTGCGTGCGTGCGGCATGTCGCTTAGACAGTGCAGAGGACGCGCGCGCGTTGCGCTACGGCGCGGCGCGCCCATTATGCTCCTAGTGTCTCTCGTTGCGCGCGCCTTTCTCGGGTGTTTTACGGCTTTTGTGTTGCAGATACGACCAAACTGACGAAATTTTCGCGCTTTAGGGCCGTAACTCGGCGTTTTCCATGGGAAAACAGTGTTATTTTATCTAAAAATCTCAAATTTCAACCTGTGTCACTTAAGTCGTTTGAGCACCGGGTAAAAATTGTTTTAAAATGTTTTCCTTGTACGAGGCTTCTAATGTATCCACACATCAACTTTTAAGACCAGGACCTCCTTCGAATTCGAAAATTTAAAAAATAAGAAACACCCTAGCCTAGGCAGATACTTAAATTTTCAGCGTTTTCGATGTTTTTACATTTTCACAAAAGGCCTCCTCTAATTTTCAATATTTTGAGACAAAAAATCCGCTAAAGTACGAACCGTCATTTTATTTCCCATTCAAAAATGCTCCTCATAATTCTCCATCCGTCCAAATTGTGAAATCTTTTTATTTTACGAAATGCTGCATACTTTTGAGATAAATTCGCATTAAAGTAAAGGACTAGAAAAAACTTATTTATGATCGTATGGAACAAAATTATCAGAATTTCATGAGAACATTCAACTATTTGCCAGGCATTTCACAAAATGCCTGATTTGACTATTTGTCTGCGACACATACCTACATCATCGCTTGCAGCGCGCAGCCACTGTGCAGTTGAGCACTGTCTGACTATTGCGTCGCCAAACTTAGAAATGACGCAGCTGTAGTGCTTTTTGCATTTGTTGGAACTGAAGGCATTTTAAAGCTGTGTTATATACTCCTCGAATCGATTTTTCACTATGGACAAGACTGTCAAAGGTTTTACTTTTACAGTAACGGTATTTTTACTTTCAACCAACGTTATCGATTCTTTTGTCAACAGCTTGATTGTGCTTCAAAAAAGCCTTCTGTTCTTCTTTCGCAACTATCCGCCTGACTTTTCATACACTCAACAATCAACATGTACGATTCGATAACAGGTCCTGATGTGTATATTCAGACGGTTTTAAACCAGAATTTGTCTGCGCTACTGCGCTACACAATCTCTAGTATCCTCTGGTGCAGTGGCGTGGCGTGATTTGCGATACATTGATTGATATGCCATTTAACGCTCGATAAACAGGGTGTTAGCAATAAACATCTTAACAATCGATTCTTTACCATAGCTTCTAATGGGGAATTATCGATAATCGATCATTGACACCTCACCACTGCTCTCATGCTTTCATTTTATTGGGTTTAAAAAAAACTCACCAAAATAAAACACGAGAAAAAAATTAGGCAACGTGCATTAAATTTGGCCGATTTTTGATGAAGTTGTCAGTTTTTAAGAGCTGTGGACGGTGTAATTTTTTCTGGNTGGGGGGGGGGGGAAGAAAGTATATTTTAGTGGGAGTTGGGCTTGAGGTTTTGCAATACCGCTAGCGTATTTTGACTTAGAAAATTTAAATTTAACAAAAATAATTGGTTAAAACCGCTCATTGAACCTCCGCAGTGTGAAAAATTATACCGTAAATATGAGTTTAAAGGCCGAGTTTGGCCAATTTGCACATTTTATTTCGGATTCAGCACCGTTTTCCGACCAGAGCGCAAGATATTCTCAGACTGTGATTTGGATGTGTTCTTTGAGGGTGGTTTATCATAACGCAAAAATCACCTCAATATTCCTTTCCACTCTGATTGCGTATGTCATCTAACGCAAAAAAAACCAGAAAAATGGCCACTTTCGTCTTTCAGACCCATTAAGCCAATATATCTCATCACATGCAGCGATTTGGTGATTGATCAAAACCAATTATTAATTTTTTCGTAGACCTTCTCCTGTCAAAAAATGCTGGACTTTTAAAAATGCAAAGTGAGGCTGGCCGGTGGGTGGGGTCTGTTTGGCACTTAACCCTCTCTGTTATGTCAACATGCCATTAGTGAACTGCTAGGATTGATGTGATAGGTAAGAATGCCGCATAAGACTTTAAACGTTAACACATTTTCTCCGATAAATCAAAAAATCTCAAGAGGACTTGTGATTATTTTCCTTCCAATTTTCGAACGAATTTTATTCGCAATTTCGTCTGAGGGTATCTGAAAATTTTAAGGAAAAATATTCATTACTATCCCATGAATCAACATTTCATCGAGAGAAATTTGGCAGCATTTGAATATTCATTTGACTTTTTTTCTCAGCACAGTACTGCCGTGCTAAGGAAGAACGCCGTATGAACGTTCGAGAGTTGCCAAATTCCGTAAAACATGTATTTTTGACAATATTCATTTCATTAGATTACGTACAAAATTGTCTAAAAATTTTGGAAAATGATACTCACAATTTTCCCAGTAATTTTGGTTTTTATCGGAAGAAACTTGGCAACGTCTTAAGGCTCATACGGCGTTTTTACTTAGCACGGCAGAGCGGATTAGTGATAATTCCAGCGGATTCGGTGATACGCGAAGAAATTTATGAGACTATGAGTACTATTCCTACGCCTCTGTTACTGCTATAGCACACGAAGCGAATGATCGTTTGAAGAGTTGTCGTTCTATGATGTTAAGTACCTTCTTTGAGCATCAATGAAAGCTATAGAGTTGTTGAATTATGAGCGGTGAGTATAATTTTTGCGTTTGATGATCATCAGGGCTGTGTATTTGGCGCTGGAGCAGCGGTCAGGTGATGAGCCGTCAATATGCTACTCTTTGCAGTGTTGCCAAATTGGTGATTGGTGGAAGAACACTGTGTACGTAATCCCCCACCCTACCCTCTTCCTTTAAACATTGAAAAGAAAATTGCAAGAAAAAAGGTAGGGAGTTCAAATGACTACCTCTTCGCTCCTATTTTCAGCACATGCAATTTTCAAGAAAAATATCGCACAGCTGGGACCAATATTTGCATGGTTCACTTTTCTACGTTGCGTTTAGGTCTCCAAGGAATACGCACTGTCACAAATACTATGGGATTTAAATCACTGCTCCTTCTCCCCTTTTTCGGTGTGTCCAGGTTGTGGTTTACTTTTCTACTCCCGCGTTCAAGTCTCCGAGGAGTATACTTTGTCACGAATAGTTTGGGGGCTGTTCAAGTTTACGTAGGGTATTTAGGACGACTTTTTGACCGCCTTCCTTTTGTCAGCTGCTCGTAAGATAACTTCCCAACCCTCCTGTCTTTAGAACTACGTAAAACTGACCTAACCCCTCGCTCAAATTTTTCGAATTTCTGAAAATAACTCAGAATGCCTGAAAAATAGCTGGAAACCATTGTTTTAATTGGATATTTTATTTTTTTTAAGTGGAAGGCTTAAGTATGACTAGACTTGGCCTCCATCCTCCCTCTTAAGACCTCGAAAGGCAAATTTTAGACATCCTCTCTCCGTAAGTGGCCTCCGTAATACTCGATGGATAAACTTCTCATATTGCACCTTTTTCTCCAATCTACGAGTAAATCACGCTTTAAATTCGTGGAGTTACATACTCCTCATTTTAAAGGAAGTTTTTCCCTCGTGGTTTAGCAATACTTCGAAGAGTTTGTGCATGGTTACCTATTTTTCAGTAATTTCATGTGTCACAATTCTAGTGGACGGAAGAAAAATAATAATAATGGCAACTACTAGATCATCTAGACTTGTACTAAATTTGTTAACTGCTATACTGACAACTTGTTTTCTCTAGTCCACATCTCATTCCTCCATCTCTCGGGTGGAAAGAAGAAATCAAGTAAAAGTTTTGGGATTACAGGAGGAAAAAAAACTTGCATTTAGTCATAAGAAAAACTCGTAAAATATTTCGGAAATACATATTTATTTACAATAAATTGACAATTTTTTATAACAATTTTCTATAAAAGTAGATGTGAGTCAGAGAAGGAAAGAGTGAAAAGATATTGCCAAACTTGTATGTAAAGTTATGTTACGACAGGGGTAAACACGTAGTTTGAAAATTCAGAAGTTGTCAAACTTCCTCAAATAAAATACGAATTTTCTACACGCAGAATGTGAATTTTTGTCTTTGATGTTTTCTTCACTGTTTTTCCTCTATTTAAATGCATGTAAAAAAAATCGATTCTTGGTGAGGCAGCTTGTCTCACCTAAAATCGATACATTTAATTGATTTAAATTGAGGAAAAACAATGTTGTCAACTTGCAAAATTGCTACTGACTACTGACGTCATTCCCACGTGAACTTTCCGTCGAATTAAGAAATTCAAGGCACATCCGTTGGAAAGAATTTCCTTTGTATTGGCATCTAGTTTGGCTTGTCGAAATATTTTGATACGTAGTATTGCACTTAAAAATGACACTTAAAAAATTAACCTAAAACCACGAGCTTACTATGGTAACAGTATTAAGAGATATCACACGAAGAAACCATTGGTTGGCCACCGATCTATAATAAATCAATCGGTGCGCGAGATGTCCGGTGCTCCATCCTCATCGATTGGCGGCGTCACAGCGATATTGTATTGCAATTTCTTGCTCCGTAAGAAGCTGTAACTATTGTCGAACAACACCGTATCTGGGAAAAATTATAACACGTAACTCAATAAATAATCAGTTTCAAAGAGAGTGTAGAGCGGTGGCGATTCTTGAAGGTTCGCAACACTGTTTTTCCTCCATTTAAATGTATGTGTAGCAGTCGATTCTTGGTCACCTTAAATCGATATTTTCAATTGATTTAAATGTATGAAAAAAAGTGTTGCCAACTTGCAGAATCGCCCCTAGTATAGAGAGAAAAAAATTATGTAAAAAAGACTGACATAATGAAAATGAAGAGTAGGAGCAAGCAATGTTTGCTAATGTTATTCGGATCTTTACGCTGATAGCATGTAATTTCCAGTGATACAAGTTCGAATCTTAGGACATTAGTGGAATCTCTCAACCCCTTTTTGGCGAACTCATCAAGTAGAGATCCAATTGAAATCAGTCCAAATGTTGAACATGGAATGGACGTATTTCTGTCAAACGGACATAAGCGCCATTATGTGAGGAAGGTAGAGGGGGGCTTGGATTGGCGGCGGAACCGAGCGTCTCGATCATTTCGTCCTATGCTCTCAAAGCTTTTCCATGGCGCTCAGGTCCGTTTGACAGAACGCGCTATCCGGCATTCTCAATTCCTCAAAAGGAACTCAAATTGGCGCTTAGTTCCGTTTGAGAGAAATACGTCCAAATGTCTGATGTAATCACCGCATTACAAAATGGACCACATTTTGCAAAGAGGAGATAAACTATTTTTTGCTAATTTTAGAGAGAATATTGATAAATATTTAGATCAAGTGAAAAAAGCGAATCATTTCACGAATTGTTAGTAGTAGAAGTTTATTTTCTTGTATGCATCTCGGGAAATCCCTTTATCAGCAAGACCATCTTTTAAAAACACAAGAACAATTATTACACTAAAAGCGTATCACAATGCATAATACATTGGAACACTGAGTAAGGAGAGATCAGCGAAAAGATTCTGTTTGAACCCGTCCATTTATAATAATATGATTTTTGAGAGGATCTTACATGTACAAGGAACAGGTAATGTCGTCACTCCGACTTCGTCCATTTGGTGGGCAGCCACCCTCTTTAAAGGAACAACAATGGCTTCATTCCCCTCTTCATCCTGGCTTTTGATTCCAAACCTTATGTCATGAGAGTCCGTCCGGAAGGACCACCTGAGAAAATGAAGAAGCAAAGAATTTAGAAGCATTAAATCAAACTATGCTCGTTCATAGTAGGAAGGACCTTAATTTATGATTCACGGAAATATACTCCGCCCCCTTCTCATTCGTTTTGAAACATCAATAAAAACCATCAAGTGAACGTGCCGTAGGGCAGGGGTGCATTAGACGCGTTTACTTGTGTTGGACACATTTTTTGCGAAAGCCCTGTCAACACTGCTAACAAAAGTTCACAGAACTTTGCGCGAAAGTCAAGTTCCATAAACCTATTTCTGCGTGGATACGATATCTCCACATATGATAAGGGAACGAAAAAATGATGAAAGAACAAACATACTTGTGGTTTAATAATTTTAACCTCTGCTGCCGCGCTGACAGCACTGTGTTTGGCGCAATGCGAGAAGTATTCCGACAGTCTCTTAGGCGCTATGCGTTTCACGCCGATCACTGCTGACCCCACTGTGTTGGACGCAATGCGTGAAGTATTCATGCAGTCTTGTAGGCGCTTTGCGTTTCACGCCGACCGCTGCTGACCGCACTGTGTTGGATGCAATGCGTGAAGTATTCATGCACTCTTGTAGGCGCTAATATGTGTCACATGCCGACCGCCGCGCCGCGCCGAGGAGGGCTTCTCCTTTTCATCTCAAGTCCTCGTCATTATTGCTCTCTTCGTTGCGCCGTTCCGGGCCAAATTGCGTGTTTGGTTTCTCTCCTAACTCAACTAATTAAAGCTGCTTTTTCTTGTATCACCGAGAGACGACAGAATTAGAAATTACGATACCTTTACTCTCAGGAAATGAGAGACATTGTGGCCTTTTCTCGTTTGTAATTTTATTTCTGAATCTGATTTTTTTATACCTACATTTGAATAAATTTCAAAATTTGCCGCCCCTTAAATTTGCCGCCATGGGCCGCGGCCCATGTGGCCAACTCCTAAATCCGGCCCTGGAAAACTCACTTTAGAGTCCTAAAAAAGAGTTGGAAGCGGAAAAGTTCATTTCTTGGCAGTTGGGGGTGTAAGGTTGCATTTTAAATCCAAAGATTTCGTGCCCTGAGTATGGCAAAGTATACTTTAAGATTAGAATTGGTCCTAAGGGCCACAGGAGGGGTGCTGCATGTTCCACTATAGCAGGGAGATTTTCCCCAAAAACGTAAATTCCCGTGATTTTCATGAAACTTATAAACCTCGAACCAACTCCTCCCCCCTTCCTTTGCGACTTCATGAGACATCATAGACCTTGTATTCCCATGCAATGGTTGCAGTATCCAAACAGGTTACAAAACCCAGAAAAACTTTTTTTTAAAATAAAAATCAACTGTGCTCCCGCCTATACCACAAACCCGAACATATCACGGTTCAGTGCGCAAAAGAGATGGTAGACCTACTCTGCCGTGCTAAGGAAGAACGCCGTACGAGCCTTTAGACGTTGCCACATTTCCCTCAATAAAAACCGAATTTACTAAGAAAATCGTTATCATTTTTTAGATAATTTCGTCCGCAATTTAATCTAAAATATCTGAAAATACCAAGGAGAAATAAGCATAACTTTCCTCAAAAAAGCATGTTTAATCCGGAGAAATGTATAGTACAGAGAAATACATCAAAAGTGACACCCATAGTGTGTAAGATTACTTTTTGAACTTTGTTTTATTATTGTACTTTCCAATAGACGTTATTAGCGGCGCGGCGGCGTCATCATATGAATTCTCCATTATATCGAATTGGGTCCAATTATAACATTGGCATAACCTCTTTAAATCGATATATCTTCACTGGAAAAAAAACACATTAGATCTAGAGTCCAGACTCTTAAAAACATAAAAAATACTCTGGATTCAATCGGAATTTTGCATGAATCAAAATGAAATCCGCTTAAATTAAGAGGCTTGGTTCTTGATTTAAGCTAGATTCTGATTGAATCAAGAGTACTTTTTCTTGTCGATGTTTTTAAGAGTCTTGACTCAAGATCCAATGTGTTTTTTTCCAGTGTTGCTTTTCTGTGACGTGGCACTAATAGCGTCTATGTAAATTAGTATTTACTCATAGGCCTTCGGGGTAGCACCTGTCCCTGCTACTTCCACTTTGTGAGCATTCAATAAAGAAAATAACACCCCCAAAAAAAAAAAAAAAAATCCGGAGAAATTTGGCAACCCTGGAATGTTCTTACGGCATTTTTCCTCAGCGCGGCAGTGCTCCCTCGGAAGCTTCCTCGTGTCCGCGGAGTTAGGATCGGGTAAACACGACGTGACGCAAGCCATGGAAACACGTGAGCGTTCGCGACAATCGTGACCGGGCAACGGACAGTTCAGCGCGGTCGCTGCACCCGGCTGTGGGTTCCCGGGGATTCTCGGCCGTTTCCCAATCCCAATTGCCGAGTAAACGTCCCGAGCGGCGAGCTTTTCGCCTTCCCGGCCGGCCCGGCGCGGCGCCCCCGTTTCCAGGCCGGAGTGGGTAATCTTCGACACGATTCCACCACTCTTGCGATCGGAATGAAAATTGTCGCCTCGGGAGCTTTCGCGCAAGTTGCCGTTCCGAAGAGGAAAAAGTTCGCTCTACCGATTACGACACTGAAAAAAAATCTCCGTGTATTTACTAAGAAAAGGGTAAAATTACCAAGAATTCAGGGTTCTATTTGATCCCAGTTTTTTCTTGGTAAAACTACCATTTATAGAATTGGTAATTTTACCGAGAAATCACGGTGAAATTATTGAACTTTCTCGGTAATTTTACTGGACCTTGGTAAAAACGCCAATATTTTTTATCGACTATGGTAGAATTACCGAGATAAAATGGCAAAGATACCGAGAATTGATTACCAATAAAAGTGGTATTCTTACCTGGAAAAACAGTAAAAATGCCGGTTTTTAGGTAAGCTTACCAGTCTGTCTTGGTAAAATTACCAATAATTGGTAAAAAAAGTGAGATGGTAAAGGTACCAACGGACCTTGGTAAAAACGCCGAGAATTTTTTTTCAGTGGACGATGAAAATATGTGCACTGAGGAGCTTGGAGGCAGTGCTCTCATTCTATGTCCGTCAAAAGTTCCGGGATTCGGAAATTTTTTGTTCCAATTTCTCCCACTCCATGACCGTTAAAAGTTCCGCAATTCCTTTGAGATTTTTTCAAAAGTTCCGAGAAAGATCCGGGAAATACAAAAGATACGGAATGACCACAACCCATGTCGGAAAATTTAGGGGGGCGGCAAATTTTGCAATTCTTTTAAATGTAGGTAAAAAAATCGGATTCGGGGAAAAACATGACAAACGAGAAAAGGCGACGAAATCTCTCATTTCCTGAGAGTATAGTAATTTCTAATTCTATCGTCTTTCGGCGATACAAGAGACAGCACCTTTAATTAGTCGAGTTAAGAGAGAAACAAAACACGAAGTTTGGCCTGGAACGGCGCGCGGCGCAGAGAGTAATGATGACGAGGACTTGAGATGAATAGGAGAAGCTTTTGGCGCGGCGGTCGGCATGTCACACATATTAGCGCCTACAATACTGCACGAATACTTCACGCATTGCGTCAAAGAAAATGCTGTCAGCAGCGCAGCGGGCGGCGTGAAACGCATAGCGCCTACAAGACTGCATGAATACTTCACGCATTGCGTCAGACACAGTGCGGTCAGTAGCGGTCGGTGTAAAACGCATAGCGCCTACAAGACTGTAGGAATACTTCATGCATTGCGCCAAATACAGTTTTAGTTAAGAGTCAGTCAAAGTTAAAATTATTAAGCGACATTTATGTTTGTTCTTTCATAATTTTTTCGTTCAATACCAATAAATGGAGGGCCTTGTCCACACAGAGATAGGTTTACGTAACTTAACTTTTGTGCAAAGTTCCGTGAAATTTTGCTAGTAGTGTTGACAGGGCTTTCGCAAAAAATGTGTCCAACACAAGTAAACGCGTCTTATGCACCCCACCCCCTCCGGCACATTCACTTGATGGTTTTTATTGAAGTTTCAGAACGAATGAGAAGGGGGTGGCAAAATACAAGCGGCCCATGGGCGGCATGTAGGTAAATCCGGCCCTGAACGGGATCCATTTAAATTTCGAGTATATGGACCACATATGTCGCAGAAAAGAACCGAGCCATATCAGGTACCGCCAAAAACTGGGCAATTAAATTTTTTACAAGAGAACGTATGTGCGGATTTTTTTGAAAATTTTAAGGAATTTGCTTTGTATTATGCAAAAAATTCACTAAAATTTGCACATAGATCCGCACAACCGTTTCCATGTTAAAAATGAAATTGCCCGATTAAATTTGGCAATAGCTTATGTGGCTTGGTTCGTTTCTGCTGGATGTATCATCACTAAGTTATCCCGATCTTCAGACGATTACACTTACATGATTCGTTCATAAGTCTTAGAACACTATCTCATTGAAGTTGCATCCAATTCAAAGACTTCAATAGATCGTCAACTTTGATTCATTCTTGATTTACCATTTCACTGAAGCAAATTTTTCGGTGCGGTGGCGTTTGCGGACGTGGCGTTTGCGGATTCTAAGAATCGGGTGGCGTTTGCGGATTCTCATATTTTGACGGTGGCGATTGCGGACAGGCGGAACAGGGCCGGTGGACTTTGCGGACCAGAGAATTTCGGCGGTGGCGATTGCGGACGGAGGGGTAGGCACACACATATGCACCCCCCACCCCTGCGCTGTATATTAAAGAGAAAAATTACCGGAGAAGCTCTGGATTCCTTTCCGTGGATGTAGAATGAAAAAAATATTAGTATTAAACATTAGTATTATATTAGTACAAAAACATATGAGCAGTGAACATACAGTAAATTTTTAAAAAAGGCATATCAGAAATCAAGAAACTGAAAAATCGTTAGTTTCAGTCCATTTTTAGGATGAAAAACCTGTTGTAAATTCTAGTCCAAAATTACTGAAAGTCAAAAAATTAAAATATTTTTTCATTTTTCGTAAGTTATTTTTTACCTTTCAGTAACTTTAGACTAGAATTAACAACAGGTTTTTCATCCTAAAAATGAACTGAAACTGACGATTTTAAAAATTTACTGTATGATCACTGCTTATATGTTTTTATACTAATATAATACTAATGTTTAATACTAATATTTTTTTCATTCTACATCCACGGAAAGGAATCCAGAGCCTCTCCGGTAATTTTTCTCTTTAATATACAGCGCAGGGGTGGGGGGTGCATATGTGTGTGCCTACCCCTCCGTCCGCAATCGCCACCGCCGAAATTCTCTGGTCCGCAAAGTCCACCGGCCCTGTTCCGCCTGTCCGCAATCGCCACCGTCAAAATATGAGAATCCGCAAACGCCACCCGATTCTTAGAATCCGCAAACGCCACGTCCGCAAACGCCACCGCACCAATTTTTCCGAGGAAATAATCGTGCCCTGCAAATTTTTAAAAAATGTCGATGATGAAACCCTTACGATTTGAGTCACCAACCGACAAGCCCGATTATCCAAGATATAAGTGGATAAATCACGCCAAGGGCTCACAGCAATTAACGGCGAAACCATTCGCGCATTTTCCCGGGATTCTGCGCCAGTCGATTTGCGCTTACGTCATCACATGGTGGCAGCAGGGTTGCCAGACCACACGGAAAACTCGATTTTTAATTATTTCTTGGGGATTAAAAAGGAGATCCGAATGAAATCGGGCATTAGTTTCGATGGGGCACTGCTCCAGTATTCCTATGAAAATTTAGCTCTTTTTATTGAGAATTTATGTATATTTCAAAATATGTATTAAAAGTGGCAACAACGTAGCGCAGTTTATGCGGTAATCCAGGATTGCGCAAAAGGTCTAAGAAAATATATGAGGATCCCGTGGAAAAGGCACAAGGATTGCGCGAATTGAGACCTTAACATCTGCTACAGAAATGCGCAAATTTAAAATGAAGTTAATTTAAGGTAGAGGTTTGGCAAAACAGGAAACAGTTGGAAAATATACGCATTTTTATATTGACGCTAGCTTAAGTTAGCTTGTTGACAAGTCTTACCTTTCTAATGATAAATGAAGTGAAAAGATTGAATAATAGTCATAGGCATAAAGAACTTTCCTGACTTTTCTTGGAAAAAATATTTAATCGGGAGAAACGAGGCAACGTTGGAATGACCATACGGCGTCGAAACACAACATATGCCTTTCAAGCTCTATTATTCGATGCCGCGATTTTTCTAACAAGAGTTCGAATAATCGTGCGAAACACAGTGCGGCCGGCGTTGAACGTATATTAGCGCCTGCAAGACTTTCGGAATACTTCGCGCATTGCGCCAAACAGCGCGGTGGGTATAAGGCATGTATTGGCGCCTACAAGACTACATGAATACTTCTCGCATTGCGCCAAACGCAGTGTAGAGAGCACGCACGAGGGTTATCCATCGGGGAGAGACATGCCCGTAAATGAATAGGGAATGAACAGTCTTCCACGATGTAGTTATTTACCACAAACTACCAAAGTTGCCAGATTAACGCCTGCTCGTTGAATATTGAATATTCGCGCAAACATGTGAGTTTTATTACCCAAAAAAGTCGCGCAATCCTATGCATCTCCAAAAAGGTAAAAAAGGAGGCATTCGCGCAATCCTATCGCAGCCAGTTTATGATCTGTTTATGGACATTGAACAAACTTCCAATCCCTGTGCTAATTTTAGCATATCGCACCAGACTGGTTTGCGGATATGTTCATGGGGGCGACGTGGTAACAGAGTCATAAACATGGCAATTTCTTCTCTGTATATGCAAACACAGATTAGTGTTTGAATCCGAGATAATGCGAGTGAAAGAGTGAAAAATTGTGAGTTTGATTTAGATGTACTTGAAGATCCCTGAAAACTTACTTCAGAAAAGATCCGCCAACTGGTGCCACGAATGAGAGCCGCAGTTTTTCGCCCTTCTTGACAGTCACCGTGCAATAGTCGCCGTTGTCTGAGTCTGCAATTTTATCACCTCGCTTCACGTAGTAGGATTTATGAATCTTCCCACCTTGTCGAATCTAATCAAACGTAACAAGACATTTGAGGTTAGATCTATTGTAATTTCTCATGTGTATAAACTGGATTGCATTTTGCAAAGAGGAACCGGGAGCATTGCAATATTGCTAAGATTGTGCAGCTCCTATTGTCTTGGGAGGAACACCTGATTATCTCTAAACAGTTTCAATTTTACTCGCGAAAAACTGTAAATTTAGGACAAAAATTACATGTAAATTTCATATTTTTTCAGCATATAGGTAAATTGTTACATTGCGATGGGCAAAGTTGCACAATCTGAGCAACATTGCAATGCTCCTGGTTCCTTTTCGCAAAATGCAATCCAACTGTAAATTAAAGATTTCTATTGAATAACATCACTCCACTAGGAAGAGACAAGTTATATGTGTCGTAGAAAATTTGATATTCCTGGAAATCTGCCAGCTACTGATGATAAATGAAAAAACAGAAATTGAGGACAAGTTAGAGTACATACTGATTATTTTGCCTCCATGTGGAATAAACGCTTTTTATTCCTAGGAAAGCGTGTAGGGAGGGTCGTGACCTTTAATCGGTTGAAGTTTGGATCGGACAAGCAACCAAACTAACTGTGCAACAAAGCGTAAGGTATGAGTGGGAAATGAAGGCGCTTCAGGCCGAAACCGTACTTGTTAAAGTTATTACCAGTGATGTTTCACTATGCCAATGCGCAATATTGCAATCTATCCTTCAGCTTCTTGCGGATTGCCGGCCATTGCTATTGCAAGTGACATTACTCGTAAATTCAAGGCTTCTTTTCACCGGGGTTGCAAGCGCAACGTACAGGTATTTGCGGCATCTAACTGTTTAATTGGACCGCTTCAAGCAGGAAGGAACCAAGCCACTTCAGATGTTGCCAAATTTAATTTGGAACCTCGATTTTTTTACATGAAAACGGTCGTGCGGATTTTTGTGCAAACAGTGAATTTTCTGCATAGCACAAGGCAAATTCTTTAAAATTTTCAAAGGTATCCGCACAAACGATCTCTTGTAAAAAATGAAATTACCCGGTTAAATTTGGCAACAGCTGATGTGGCTTGGTTCCTTTCTGCTAAACGTGGTCCAATTCACGATGCTTCATTCGAAACCCAAAAACGTGTCCACCAAAATAAGAATTTTGAACTTACTTTCATCGTACACCTAGGATTTCCATCTGGATCTGTCTGCGTCCCGCCGAAATGGGCCGGTAACTGATCTGGATCAGCTTTTGTCAAAAGAAGAGCTTTCCATTTTGCAGGATCCGTCTTGGTTATGTGAATTTTACCGATGGTGTAGTCGTTAAGGAAGTTTTTGACTATTGAGAATGCTAGACTGAAGATTTTTGGGGCTAGAAAAAAGCGAGAAAAATGACGTTGTATAAAACTCAAGGGAGAGATAGGCAATGTTGTAAAAACGTATGTAAAAATTTACGTAGAAAGCAATAACGCACCAAGTAGGTCTGGAATATACTTCTGGCTGAGATATCAACAAGTTCATTGAACGATAATGAAACAGAGCAAGAATCAACCAAATGACGTGGTTCTTATTTTTGCAACTTAAATAATGTTAATTGTAAGAACTGAAATATTCAATCGTCTCATTATTCAAATCGATAAACAAGTTGGTTTTTGCAATCGCTAGCGATAGCAATATTCGTCATGGGAACTTTTGCTTCTGGGATATGAAAATGTTAAGGTACAGTTCGTTTGTAGTATCTTCAGAATTGAAGGGGCTATGTAATTTTGTGTCAACATCTCTTTTTTAACATTTTTAATTTTTTTTCTTTGCATACAAGAAAGCTGTTATTTACCAATTATTTATTTCCGTTGGATTATGTATGGTTTTCGGAAGTTAACGCATTTAACTTTCAGTTTCGTTTTTTCGGCGTAAAGTATGATATTTTTACTCTACGCATATGCCCGAATACGCATCATAAGTGACCTATGTGCTTCCTAAGTTGCCATTTTTTTCATTCAAATAGATGTAACTGAAATGTTAGATGTGTACTACCTATACTACTTTCATGTCATTGCTTTATTTATTTATTTACTATAAAAGGTAAAAATAGGCGTAGGTATAAATTGTTATTTTTTGCTGAATTTTGGAGAAAATATTGCTTTAAGAACGTGGAATGTAAATTAATTTTATTGAAAAAAGAAAATACCATCATTAATTTGGGCGAACAGAGAAAATATACATCAATATTTGGGTCAACATCTCCCTGATTATATAAAGGATGAATATATTAGTATTTCTGTATCAAAAAACTTAGCTTTTGTCTTCAGAGATACAATGATTCTAGTCCCAGTCAATTTGTTTTATTGAAAAAACAAAAAAACAAAAAATAAATAAAAAAAAAACAACTGAAATGTTAGACATACTATTTTCATGTATTTCTATTTGTATCAATAGGTACTTTTCGCTTAACTTACGATTAAATAAGAAAAATAAGAAAAAGAGGAAAAAGAGGAAAATTGGGATTCATTGAATTGGTTGTTTTTTCTTACTTGCGTTTGCGTCTCTGACAATGAGTCTACATTTATCTTGACTTAATTGTGTCATCGACATAGATAAGAAGTTACATCGATGAGTTTGGGGTGTCATTTAATGAAGTGGTTGTTTTTTCTAGCTCTGCGTTTAAGTCTCTAAGGTGATATCTTGAATTTATTGTGCCATCGACATAGATGCAAAGTGATATGACATAGAGGTGTCACTTATCGAGTTGATTGTCTTCTTTACTCTATGGTTAGCCCATCATTTTCCCCTGAAATCCCTAACAACCACCCTTTTCAACCAATGAGATCGCTCCACATTCCCTGTTTTCTTTCTCTATAGCATTGCCTGTGCCAATTTCAGTAACCTGCACGCTGTAGGAATGGACTTCCAACTTCACCATCGTGCGAACTAATTTCTACGTTATATTTTGAAGAAAAAACAAACAACAAAGTCCTTTTTGTCTTACGTCCCATTCTCACGGTCCCACAATGTAAAAACCTTGCCGAAACTTACTGGGATCTCCNGGGGGGGGGGGGGGGGGGCAGTGGGAGAACTCGTGAAACCATGTCAGCGAATCGGGCGCGGCAAAAAACGAAAGAAGCACCTGCGTCGGCCCGGAGGAGCGGTTCGATATTGGTAATGAATATTGTGGCCACAGTTGCCAAATTGCGCTCTTAAACCATTATTTTCCATCGCATGGAGCATTGCGAGCTATGCACAAACCAGCGCCGGATTTTCGTAGTGGGGGCTCCTAAAAATCCTTCTCATCATCTTGCTTTGAAGACTGCGAACTATGCCAAAGATAGGCACCAAGGCAGTTATATAGGGGATATTCACAGAACTGACAATTTTGTGATTAAATCAAAGAAAACTTATTATTTTTTGGAGCGACTATTTAAGTACCCTGGAGCAATCGCACCGGTTGCCCCCCCCCCCCTCCTGAGTTCGGAACTGACACGCACCGAAAAAAATGATTCGAAGACATTGTCTGCATAACGAAAACAAAATGCCCCTACACTTAAGGAAACAAATTTCCAGGACCGGAATTTTTTTACTTAAACATTTTTTTTTTTTTCAATGAAAGACATTTTTCCCATTGAGCGGAGATTTTTCTTAATTCGAAGAAATGTTACAGTGTCTTCTCCGCCAGATTTAATTTTCTTTGAACAAAAATATAGTATTTTTCTATAAAATAAGAAAATTCTAAAAAAAAAAAAAAAAAAAAAAAAAAAAAAAAAAAAATTAATAAAACAAGAAACTTATTCGCATTTAAAATCATGATCTCGTTTAGAGAAAGAAATTCATTTTTATTTGAAAACGATTTTTATATTTCATTCATTTTTATTTTCATTTCTATGTTAAAACGATTTTTCCAGTGCATATTATCGCACGATTTGACAACCTCTACCGTGGCGCAACGGCTGCCCTTTCCTTGTTGCGGGTCAGGTACACATTTTGTGAGTCATTCGCTGTGTCCCGCCGAGCAAAAACCTTGTCCCTCCATAGGGAATTCCAAAGGACTTACGAGGTTTGGCCAAGTACGGTAGCGCTCCGGCTCTGACTTGAGCCAAAATAGCGACACTTCGATTTTGATGAATGCAGTGCCGCTAATCTCTTGCCCCACTCATCGCCTCGCGATGAAGCAATTTCGGCTGAATCGGACGTCATTAAGCGAAAAGACCTATCTGCAAAAAAATATGCGAAAAACAGCGTATGGCAGATCGCATTGAGACAGCAGATACGTGTTTTTCGGAAGTTTATTCGTAAATAGATTTCCCTTTCATTCAAGGACGTTCGATTAGAGCCTTGCTTGTAATGCCCCCATCTATCAGCCTCAACTTGGTATACTACCGTGCTAAAAAACGCCACATGAGCGTTTCGACGTTGCCAAATTTTCATTAGTAAATGACAAATTTTCGGAAAATTTGTACATATTTTTCTTCCAATTTTTCAGATAATTTTGTTCGCAATTTCACCTAAAGTTCCTGAAAAGTTCAAGGGAAAATGTCCATAGCTTTCCTCAAAGATAAATATTTTATCGAAGGAAATTTGGCAACTCTCGAATGTTCATACGGCGTTTTTCCTTAGAATGGCAGTACAGGAGTCTCATTCGGGGGCAGAGAAGGCCCCCTCCCCCAAGATTGGGAATTCAAACCCTTCTTCACAGGAATTTAGATCAATTTATGCATTTGTCAAGATTCATGGAGGTTTTGTCGCCCCCTCCCGACGGATTTTGCTCCCTCTAATCAGTTTCTGTAGCCCCCTTTCTTTGAATTAAAGTAGGTTATGGACGTAAGGAGAGAGGGGAGTGGAAGGTGAAAAAGGTATCCTCCTCGATAATTGGAATTTAGACGTTTTATCAAAAGCAATTAAATTTAATTCAATGCGTTTTCCGAAATTATGAAGATTTTGTCCTCTTCCTCCTCCTGGCATGTTCTGCTCCTTCCAAGCAACTTCTATTCCCCACTAAATCCATAGGCATTGAGTATGGGGAGAGAGAGAAAGAGCGAATTCCTTTCCCCTTTTTCAGAAATTTGAGCTTCTTTTGAAAAGCAATTTTAGCTAATTCTTAAGGTTTTCCAATGCTGGGGGTTTTACCCCTAGTATGTTGCACATTACGATGAAATTCTGATTTAAATATTACAAATATTATGTGAAAAAACATCCATAAAGTATGCGTCAGAGGTAAAGTGTTGGAATTTCCGACCTCCACTCTCTTTCTGCACACACATATTTACATGGAACATTGCAGAGAAAACTCGCATCTAAGGTGGATATGAATTTTTCACAAAAGGTGAGTGGTTTTTCTCCCTCCAATATTTCCCCATAAAAAGGGTGACCTAATATGGAAAAAATCATCATATCAGGTTGATGACCTAAAAAAATTAATGTCACAATAATTTCGGTACCCCCAATTGTTGTAGGATTTTTAACCGACCTGTGGCAGTTATCAAGCTTTTTCTACAATAAAAACTTGTTCTCTTAAGTATCATCATTTTATGCAAATGCATCAAATATTGACTGTTCGTTTTACTGTTAATTTTATGCCAAGAATTTGTTTAAGACGATTTTAATATTCTGCAAAAAGAGGTATGTCATCTCTTCTCGTGCCCCATGTATGTAGTATGTTGTAGACGATGCCAGGTGTCCTAATTACTGAGAGAATTACTCACCATTTACAACGTAGCACACTTTCAGTATCTCGGGGTAGTTAGCTTCGTACATCTGAATCATGTTTAAGGTAACTTCACCGGCTGAAAATTAAGACATAAAAGAACGAGATTAGAAAACAAACGAAAGAAAGAAAAGTATCACTTGTCAGAAAAATCAGATTCGTTACATTAAAGAAAAATGTGTTTTATGCTGTCCCTCGTCGCACTTGGGATCATACTTGACGCATCTGGGAAACATCTAATTGAGCCAAGTAAAAGTTTAGTTGTGACAACAAAATCTACTTGAGGTGAAAATATGTCCGTTATTTTTCGCATTAAATGGGAATATTTCATTACGACGAGTAACTTTTTTCTGTCCAAAGTCAAAAATAAATTTTTTCATTGTGTTTGCAAAATTTTGTTGCTGTAAACAAGATTAATAAGATTTTACTATGGAACGACATATCGCCGGTAAGTCTACCAGACCAAGTATCTCGTTTGCGGTGTCTATAAAAATCTCCGCTCCCGTTTTATTTTTTTGAAGGAGAACAAATCAATATTAATCCTTGAAGTTCTCACAGAGTTTTCATCGTACAGACAGGGAAAATCACGGAAGTTTTCAAGAATTTACGTTGAATAGTGTTCCACTTTAAAAATGAAAGTATGACAGGAAGTCTGTAACGTTGCAAACCGAGATACCTGGTCTGGTAGTTTCACCATCGATATGTTATTTTTCCCAGGTACACTGTGCTCTTCCATAGCTAGTCAGCATAATGGAGACTCTTGCTCTTACTGAGGAAGCAAAATAGGCAACTGTTCGTGCATGATTGTTGCATGTTGCATATTCGAATGAATGAAGGAGGTACTCAGTATAATGGAGACTCTTGCTCTCGCTAAGGAAGTAAAATAGGCAACTACCAGTGCATGACTGTCGCGTGTTGCATACTCGGTTGAATGAAGGAGCTATTCAGCATAATGGAGACTTTTGCTCTCGCTAAAGAAGCAGAATAGGCAACTACTCGTGCAAGGCTGTCGCGTGTTGCATACTCGACTGAATGAAAGAGCTAATTAGTATTATGGAGACTCTTGCTCTTGCAAGGGAAGTAAAACAGGCAACTGTTCGTGCATGACTGTCGCCTGTTACATATTCGACTGAATGAAGGAATTCGTCTGCATAATTAAGACTCTTGCTCTCGCTTAGAAATCAGAATAGGCAACTGTTCGTGTATGACTGTCGCGTGTTGCATACTCGGCTGCATGAAGGAGCTATTCAGCATAATGGAGACTTTTGCTCTGACTAAAGAAGCAGAATAGGCAACTACTCGTGCATGGCTGCCGCGTGTTGCATACTCGGCTGAATGAAGGAGTTTCGAAAGTATACGCACCTGGTCGCCAGGCGTACTGTCTGAGGTTGAAATCGACCATGTCGATGACGCACATGACTTGGGCGGCCTTTTGTCCATGGATTTTGGTTTGCTCCTGGGCGACTTTGATGTAGCTCTCGAGCATTTTGATGGTGGCCTTGACAACGTCCGATTTGGAGACGCAGTGAAGCAGACCGTACATGTCGAGGCCGGCGAAAGGGATGACCACGATCGGGGACCCGTCCTTGTCGAAGCCCGAGATCCCCGAAGGGTAGTACTTCTGCAGAACCTCCGGGGGCTCCCAATGCTCCAGATCGTCCACTCCCCATCGCTCACGCCACTTCATCGACTGAAACAGCAAAAATACGAAATTAATAACATGTAACAGTAACATGTTCCAGTCTCCGGTTAGTTTTCCGAACCAAACAGAGGCAACATGATTTGGACCAACTTTTGCAATGGAGATGTTGTATGTGTGAGGAATTTGCAATTTGACAACTAATTCTAATGTAAAAGTTCGCGAGAAACACGATGGTGCCACTGGTTTTCCCTGAAATCAACTCCCAAGCTCAAAAAAAGCTCACAAAGTTGAGGCTGTAATGGAGAGGATATCCAACGCTATCCTGAAAGTCCACCTCTACAAAAAGACGAACTCTCCATGCAAAGATAGGATGCAAGTACATATTGACAGGGCTGCCACTTTATGTGGGGACCCCACAACTAAAAACACGGCACCCTTGCTAATGTATTTGATCCCTATCTTTGCATGGAGAGTTCATCTTGATGAAGAGGTAGACTCTCAGGATAGCGTGGGATATCCCCTCCAGTTTGGCGTCAAATTGAGAGCTATTTTTGAGCTTGAGAGTTGATTGCAGAGGAAACTAGTGGCACCGTCGTGTTTCTCGCGAACTTTTACGTAAGAATCAGTGGTCGCTTTGCAAATTCCTCAAACATGAAACATTCTCCCACGCTACGCTGAGATACCACCTCTGTATCTCGCGAGGGGTGAAAATTTACCTCATGGGTGCGTTGTGGGGGACGGGGAAGTAAAAAAATCCGATTTTAAGCGTTGCATAATTTTTAAAAATCCGCAGATTTCAATCTGCAGCACTGCCATGCCAGGGAAAAATGTTATACAGACATTTGAATGTGGTAAATTTCATTCAATAAAACGCCCCTTTTCAAGGAAATTCTTGGTTTTCCCCCGAATCACTCGATGAATTTCATTAGTAATTTGATCTGAAAGCTCCTAGAAATTTCAAAGAAAATTCCCTTAATTTTCTTAGAAATTAATATATTATCGGAAAAATTGGCAATATTTGAATACTTATACGGCATTCTTCCTCAGCACGACAAAGCATCGGTGACACACGTCAGAGGTTAGCAGGCGTGTGCGCAAATTCGAGGCAAGTTTTGGCGCAAAAAACAGTTTGACACACGCCTCGCCGATAATGCCGGCTGGCTCAGTTCATTGGGTCAAATGCAAATAATCCGGGTAAAAAACGTTCCACCAATTAAAAAAAAACTCCAACCAATTGAGGAGGTAAACCCTCGCTTTAAACTCGCGGTGAAAAAATAATTACCGTGCCACTGACCGTTCACGAATTAAAATTTTAGTCAAAAAAAGAGATATGTTAATCCTCTTTTCACAATCAGTCTTTATTTCTAACATCTGGCAACTTTTATACATACGTAGATTGAGATCTCTCTTTTTATGAATTTGTGCTCCTGTATCCTGCGTATTTCTCGTAAAAATTTTATTTCTTTTTTACTGTACATGGATAATACAACGTTGCCGATGTTACGAGGGCTGCGAATTAATGGAGAGAAAGGGTTGAAAAAATCTGCGAATGTGTCGGAACACTTAAAGACTCGAAAACTGAGTTTTCTTCTCTAACACATCTTCCTTTCTTTCTGGTAGTTTTCATATAAATGCCCAGATTATCATTATTATCAAAATCGAATTAAAATTGTTATGGTTTGAGATTGGTACACGGAAAAAATTAAATTGCTGATTTAACAATTAAATTGCTAAAAAAAGTGACTGCAATATTTCAATGTAGATATCACAACAAAAAAATGCTACTTTAACCATTATTGTAAGCTAATTTAATCACGGGGGTGGTTAAAGTAGCATGTTTTTGTAAAATCTACATTGAAACATTGCAGTCACTTTTTTAGCAATTGAACTTTTAAATCCATTGTTGAGAAAATGATAATTTGGAGCGCAATCCAATCTGCAGCTTTCAGCCCCAAAATTATCGGGGCATACAATACAAATTTGCATCCTCTGTTGACGTGTTGACACAGAAATTAATTATAACCAGTATTGGAATACTGAGGATAATTTTCCACCAAAAACTGAAAAGTCGGATTTTGGCCCCATTTGAGAAAAATACCCCCCCCCCCCCCCNCCCCCCCCCCCCCGGGAGAGATTTTCTCCCGGAAATAAGGTCCCTTTTCCCGGGAACGGTCACAATCGTATATAATAGCTGCGCAGAACACACGGGATCGTGAAAGGAGGATTTAAAATAATTAATTTTTTTCAGAAAGCGAATTTGCTCCACGCATGGAATTTTTAGTTGAAATTCTACAGAAGTTTGATCGAATAAAGCAAATTTGCACGACAGAATCACATTTTTAAAGGAGGTAACAATTATTTAATGTATGCCAATATAGAGAATGTTTCCTTTCGCAGAATTGATTGTTGTCAGGTAGTGCTGAAAATCAGCATATTTTCCCATTTAAACCCATGTAAAATATCTACATTTTATTGCACAATCTAGCAACATTGCCGGAGTTAACACCAACACACTCTCACAAGATTTCTCGAATGGCCGGGAATGCTGAGTAGGAATTGGCGTTTCTCGATTCCCGCATGAGTCCCAGAAAGCATGGATTTGTATGTAAAACAGGACTCACAAGTATCGATCTTCTAGACAATATCTTACCTCTCGCAACATCTTTTCAGCAGCCTCTGGGTCAAAGTTCCTGGCTGAAACAGAGAAATGACAAGAGAGTATTAGAGTAGGTCGAAAAAATAGACGCAATGAAGAGGCTTCTTAATATCACAAGTGTAAGCAGTTTAATGCGCAAGGTTGTACCGGGTCAGTGTCTCAGCCGCAAGCTCCTGATTCTAAAACGGATGCTAAAAGCTGCCGCGCTTGGGAAGAACGCCGTATGAACCTCCGAGAGTTGCCAAATTCCCTTCGATAAAATGTTTATTTTTTTAGGAAAGTTGTGATTATTTTTCCTTTAAATTTTCAGAATCTTTGGGTAAAATTGCGAACTAAATTATCTGAAAAATTGGGAAGAAAATATTCATAAATTTACCGGGAAATTCGCGTTGTATCTAAGGAAATTTGGCAACGTCTGAAGGTTCTTACGGCTTTTTTTCTTAGCTCGGCAGAAAGGGAGCGGAGCAGCTCGAAGAGATGAAGTAACAGTTTTCTTAGAGCACTGCCCGCATTCGTTCGGGATTGCCGTGCTTTCGCTCTCTGGAATTCCCTTATCGGACATGCCTTCTCTCTGCGTAATACGGGTACTAAATTTCATCCGAGAATACAGCCGCAAGTCTAGATGAGAGGTGCGGAAAAAAATGAAAAGAGAAAAATTAATCCATGAAACCGAGAGGATAATGACCATCAAACACGGATAAAAGTAAATAATGGTAGCGCGACCAAGCCTCTGCTGCCGTGCCAAGGGAGAACGCCGTATGAGCCTTCAGACGTCGTCAAACTTCCTCCAACGGAAGATTTATTTCTGAGGAAAGTGATGCGTATTTTCAGATGTTTTAGATTAAATTGTGAATAAAATTGTCTGAGAAATTGGAGGCTATATATTTAGAATTTTCCCGGTTAGCTCGTTTTTTATCGAAGAAAATATGGCAACGTCTGGAGGCTCATACGGCGTTCTTCCTTAGCACGGCAGTATGGCTAACACCATTTCTGCCGTGCTTCGGAAAAACGCCGTATGAGCCTTCAACCGTTGCTATATTGCTTTCGACGAAAAACAAATTTTTCTGGAAAAATTCTGAATAATTTTTCTTCCATTTTTCAGGCAATTTTATTCACAATTTAACTTTAGACATCTGAAAATTTCAAAGAAAATGTGCATAACTTTCTTAAAAAGAAATATATTGTTGGAAGAAATTTGGCAACAGCAGGATGATCATACGGCGATCTTCCTTAGCATGGCAGACTAGATATCCAGCGATGAACGTCTGGAAGATCAAAATCGCAAAGACTTAAATTTTTTCTTGGAAGTAAACTTGGAGACTTCAACGCAAGGATAGAAAAAACAACCTTTGATCAATTCTGAAAGGATGTACAGGAATTCTCTACAAGAAAATAGGCCATCTTCTTCCTATTATTAAAGATTTCTTGCCTAAATTATTTTCTCCACAATGACAAATATTTCGAACAAGAAGAAGAATATAAAAGGATGTAAGGAAAAATGTTCGCGTATGTAGTGCACAAAGAAAAAATGATGTGCTTTGCCAAAATTGGACTTAGCATCAGCTACATAATTTATCAAGAGTAAGTTATCAAAACCATTAATTATAGTAAGAGTATTTATCACACTCTTCACTCTTCATTTAAAAGTACTTCAGTGTGGTAACTGCATCGGTGTGAGATTAGCGACTCTTATCCGTGTATCTGAGTCCAAAATCAGTCAGATATTTGAAGAAACTAACCGTATTTTCGCTCACACCTATACTTAAAAACATACCGATCATTCGATTTCCGGTTACTTTACCATCTATTAGAGTGAAATTCTTCTTTAAGAGGTGATGGAACGGGGAATTCCAAAATTTGGCGGGAAAACTCTCATCTATTACCTAACCTAGCGTTTAAAACTGTTTTGCCTCCATATAGTAACAATATTCATCCATATGTAGTAGTAATCAGTTTAACAAGCCAGCGCCTGGATTGTTCACTGAAAAAAAAAAAATATGGTAGATTTTACAATACTCTGACACAGTGATCCAAGTACTGCAATAAAAACCAGACTCTACGGTAGCATTTACCAAATTAGGATACGTATCACCAGAGTTCTAGTAAAAACTACTATAATTCTGGTTATTTTCACTAGATAGTAACTCTGTGTAAGAAATCAAGTACACTCAAAAAACAAGTATGGGAAGAGTGACTTGCCGGTCGAGTTGTGGATCATGGAGCCATGAAATATAGTTCGTGGAGCCATGCTTATAGGTTCACGACCAATAAAGTGTGGCTAAAGACGGTAAGTCACTTTGGTTAGAAATTATGGATCACCGAGCCATTTTTTACGGGTCTCAGAGTCATACCTTTTTTTGAGTAGACTTATATTAGATGTAACCATACTATTTTTCCAGTGTTAAATTGTTATTGAATGGCTGATTGATCGATGACTAACATCGTTAAAAAAGGGATCGAAAACGATTCAAACATCGATTTGCTGATGAAGCAACCTGTTCCGATGGAATCGACTGATTCACATACATTTGAATGGACAAAACCCACTGTTGCCAACTTGTAAGTACCCCTTCTGACGGTCTCTCGAGCGTCGTCTGAGCGATATATTACAGGGTGTTTTTCATCCAGGTCTCGTGAAAGGAATAAGATGAGACGTCAATTTTCAAACAAATTCAAGGCCAGGGCACACTTTACAACTATGATGAATGGAGTCACGAGAGCTGTCCACTCACGGTTCAAAACGCCGACACGTCCGACTTAACGAAAACAGTAGCACCTACGTTTCAGCTTGGGTCCCTACCACAGTCGTAATCCTGGACCATTTGTTTTGCTTAAAGTTGCCAGGTCGTGTGATAAAACGTGCGTCTTAAATGCATAATCTTTCCTCGAAAACTGCCCAACTGGAGAAACATGAAAGTTCCCTTTTATTCGTGTATTTTTCCCCCCTCAAAATGTGTTTTCTGAATCATGCAGATCCTTTAGTTTTTTCTTGTTTTCGTTTTACTTGAAAAGACAGTCACAAAGTTCGTTTCTTCTAAGAAGTGCAAAACCAAAGGCTGAAAAAGTTCCTATTGTGCAATTGACGTTACAAAAGTTTCATTTTTTTCATTTTCTTTTTTTTATGGCTACGAGACTTTTTCCGGGAAAGTGAATAATTACATGCGCCGAAGATATTTTCCATTCACCAAAACTTTTCGGCTAAATTAATTCTTTTCCGTTATCTATGGGCATCTTTTTCAGGATTACGTACTTTTCTAAACAAGTTCTCAGATTGACGGTGAACCATTTTTTGAAGAATAACGCTGCCTTTTCATAACAACCTTGCAACCACGGAACTATTATTTGTCTGACATGTGCATACGTCTTTCGATCAACGGCCAAAAGGGGAGCACTGATTCCTCATTATTGAAGGTGGAGAAAGGCTGATCATTGTTGGTTTCGAGGTCGTTCATAGATGAATCTATTGGTGTTAAAACCTATGGACCCTAGAATACACGCATTCTCATGAGGCTCACGGCTCATCAAGAAACGATTATTTCAGATTTTGACATCGACTGAGCTACGTATCAAAAGCTGAAGCACCCTCGAACATCGACCGTTTGCTACTGGATCCATAGCTTCGAGTTTATTATATTCTCCCTTCAAAAAACGAGGAGTCAGTACAAGATAATTTTTGTCTGTTCAACTGATGTTGCCATACTCCTAACAACTTCATTATACTGAATATAATCAAAAGTTGTGTACACTGAAAAAAAAACCTCTGGCAGTGCAAGTCGTACTTACGGGCTATATAGACATACCGTCCGCGTTACGAGCTCAGGGGCAGGGTCGGATTTAGGGGGTGGCCACATAGGCCGGGGCCCATGGCGGCAAATTTAGGGGGCGGCTAACTTCGCAATTTTTTTAAATGTGGGTATAAAAAAAAATCGGATCCAGAGAAAAAATTACAAACAAGAAAATGTGACAAAATCTCTCATTTCCTGAGAGTATATTAATTTCTAATTTTGTCGTCTTTCGGTGATACTACAAAGACTGCGCACCTTTAATTAGTTGAGTTAAGAAAGAAACCAAACACGTAATTTGACCTGGAGCGGCGCGGCGTAGAGACGACGAGGACTTGAGATGAAAAGGAGAAGCCCTTGTCGCGGCGGTCGGCATGTAACACAAATTAGCGCCTACAAGAGTTCATGAATACTTCACGCATTCCGTCAAACACATAGCGGTCAAAAGTGGTCGGCGACTCGGCGTGAGGCGCATAGCTCCTACAAAACTGCATGAATACCTCACGCATTGCGTCAAACACAGTGCGGTCAGCATGGAACGCGTAGCGCCTACAAGACTGCAAGAAAACTTCACGCATTACGCCAAACACAGTGCGGTCAGCGTGAAACGCGTAGCGCCTACAGGACTGCAAGAATACTTCACACATCAAGAATCATTAAATATCTTCATAAAGAGTCGATTTCGGTAATTTTTGTTGTGCGCATTGTGTTTTACATGAAATTTTGGTTAGAAAAATGTATCAGAGTGCTGAAATTCGTGCCTTGCCTAGTGATCCATTCTGTTTCCCTGTAATAATCCTTGTCAGCCCGCTCAACAGTCATCCGTGTTGCAGATTCAAGAAACTGAAGGCGCATCGACCGATCCTTGGCTGACGATGAAACAACTGCGTCACACTCGTCACGGATTTCTAATTCTGTTTTCCTGTACGAGGAACAAACTGACCCGCGCTCGAAAAGCGCGGGAGCAAGGCCACGATGCGGCCGATGCCGGCTAATTTGAGCGGGGATTGTGCCGAATCATCCGGCGGCCGCCGCGCCGCGCGGGCGTCCACGTCTTCCAGAGTAAACGCTGCTCACTGGGTCAGAGCCGCGGCCGGAGCCAGCGAGCGAAATTGCGTCAGCGTTTAGTTAATGACTTTTTCATACTCCTCAATGACCGTCGCCCGCCACCGCAGCTACCCGGCCGCAATGACCACCGTCGCCGTAATACAGATCTTGAACGCTGCCGTGCTCAGGAAGAACGCCGTATGAGCCTT